TAGGGCGACAGAAAGATTGCTAATGTGTGATCTGGCTGTGGCCTCACATTTGACCGAAGATAAGTAAGAAGAATCTGAGAATGGTATGCCCCTGACTTCAGATGATACGGAGTTACAGAAATTTCACGTTTATGGGCTCTTGCCCCCACCGACACTATTGTCATCCTGTAAATTGTTTGCCCAATCTTACCGTTCTTTTGAGATGATTCGATAGTATTTTCCAGTGTAGTCATCTACCTTACTGTTTATTTAATGAATATTTGAATTTTTCCAGGATCTCCACTTGTGTAGGATTTTTCAAATTACTTTTTCTTTGTGTAATTGAAATATTAAAACTACTTGTCTCTGATACGGGACATTAGGATTTTTAAGAACTGAAAAAGTAGTATTTAGTTTAACTGAATTATATAGTTGTCAAAACCAACGAAATAATGATCTCATGTTCTGTGGCCACTGTTAGGAAAGTTGGGGGATATCATACTTGTCAACTGTAAGTCAGAATCCTTAGATAAGCAGTTGAAAGGCCTAACTGAGGAAGTGTTACGTTTCGGATTTAACTATGCACTGTTAGATACTAGTAGTTCACTTGAGTGGTTTCTGTTTCCCCTTGATTTGGCTCTTAAAACCCATAATGCATGGATATTGGGTCACAAATTTTGTTATGCTCCTAAGTTTTCTTTAGAACTATACTTAACAGTTTGACTTTCATTATTCTGTAATTCTTACATGAATGCATCATTTGTTTGAGGGTGAATTAAGATGAACAAGAAGGATACTGTACGAGTATTGTCGGCTGTGACAGCAGGTATTGTGGTAGAAGTTTGTCCAGATTTCAGAGGTTCAAAGAGGAAGGCAAGGAAGCAGCTGCAAAAGTCAGTAAATTTTTACTTGACTAGGTGGCAGCGTCACATCCAGTAAAATAAATACTCTTCAAAGTCAGAGCAGGGAGAACCTCAAATTTCACAAATAAGCCCATTTTGTTTACAGAAATGTAAAGGAACGCAATGGAAGCTGCCAACTTCATATACAGTAAACTCGGTGCCCTGCCTTTGTATGTGTATGTCCCTGGATTTACATGTAAACACAGAAACAAATGGGGGCAAATGTTTGTCCGTATTTTGAATGTATGTAGTCTGCCAAACATGCTCTAGTGCTGCAGGCACAACATGTTACCTTTAGTCCATTTTCATTTCCCACTGTCACTATCCGGGGTATGCATATTTAATAAAATGGGTTTTAGATTCGATGATCGAATTTACTGGACGTTTATACAACTGGTTACACCAGCTCTCTGACACACTGTCGTCTTCTTGGACTGGACACGGTCGACTTGTGATCACACTTCACAACTCCACTACTCCACTACACTGGTCTTCTTACTGTGCCCTCTTATAAATCCTCGACGCAGACCCCACAGAAAACACCGTCTTCTGTTATCAGGAATGCATGTTTATTGGTCCGTTACCTAGCAATGGTTGTCCAATTGTTGAGCGCGTATGCTTTTGGAGTGTGTTTACCTAGCCGTTGCCTAGGAATGTACATATGCGTCATATTACACACTGTAGACAGGGCCATCCATTTATATATGCATACAAATAAATCTGTGTATCTAGGCATTAATGGGGCTACGTTACATGCTCATGTTCATTCATTCCCATTTAACCCATGCGGCAGGGGTTCTCAAACTTGGGGTTGTGACCTGTTTTAAGGGAGGTGGTGTTCTACCAAATTCACAGACAGTTATTTGAAATATAGTTCTATCCGTGAGTAGTTTTGACAGGTCAGTAAAATTTATTATAATGCATGTGCAGTCTGCAAAACATTTCACTAATCTTCCGTGACTACAAGAACATTTTGTTGCCTACAGTAAGTGTAGAAAAGGAAGCACAATAGATCATTGTAGGTCGCGGTGCAAGAGCTGAGAAGGCCTACCCCTTATACATTCATTCATTCAAGTGTGGAAAAACTGTAAAGCTCTTTAGGTTCCTGCTGTCACTGTATAGCCTGATAGGCACCTGCAACAGCATGCAGAACTGCACTTTTCATGACTACCGGAACATTTTATAGCTTATTGTAGGTGTAGAGAGACTGTAAAGCTATTTAGGTTCCTGTTGTCACACCATAGAGCCTGATAGACACCTGCAACAGTGTGCAGAACTGCACTTCTCTTGACTGTTATTAATTTTTACCAGTGCATATTTACATAACTTGCCTTTCTCAGGGATCCTAACACCTGCGTTGTGATGGTTTACAGATAACTTTGTAGGACATGTAACTGAAGTATGTGGTCTCTATATACTTGAAACAAACAGAAACTGTTGATATGGAATGCATTTCCTTTTGCATTATGTAAGTGTTAACTTATGCATGCTTATTATGTGACTGTCACATTTTTTAAATTTAAAAATTGATAAACGTTATGAGTATCTTTTTTAATGAAATTAATTTTTCCATTTTATTAAACTGTAAATATATTAAATTGTTTTTAAAACTGTGCCTCTGTGGTGTAAATAAGACTAATAATTGTCATAAGGATATGATATAAAACATGCATTTTCAGTTAATATGAAACTTTCAACAAAATTGTCTGGTAAGTTCTACTCTCGTGCTTGCTGACATGGTATCCTATCCATTAAGTATGTGCTTCTCTTATTAATTACTAACTGAACTTTATATCTGACTTCCAGTTTTGCAAAGGGTGTGTATGTATGTATGTGTATTTTTTTAAGGTGACAGTTTGTGTATCAGACACTTTGTAACCAACAGCTTTAACAGTTTCTAACTAGCATGTTCGGTTGACATGTAATTAATATGGTTACTCTAACTGCTAATGTTTATGATGATGAAAACTAATTAACTGGCATTCCAGATCATTTATTGAAACTTATTGCATATGATTGATAATGCAATAGTTTAGGTGCATTTGGATTTTCAGCTTCATTAAACAAATTGCTTTAAGCAACCAGGTAGAGGCAGTGCTAAGATAAGCTACTGTTGTTAATTTTAAAAACTTATAGTTTTTATTTGTATCACTGATACAAATGGCAATCATCTAAAATTGTTAGGCAACCGTGGGCAGTGTTACACAGGATACAAAGTAATTTTGAGGGTAAGGTTGATGTGCATATGATTCTCCTATAAATAAGAATTTTGAATTTAGAGAATGCTTAGTATTTATGGCAATGGATCAAGGTTATGGTCTTCTGGAATTTGACCCCACATGGATTAGTAGATGTCACTGTTTTGGAGGAATCTTTTGCCTCTCGTCAGGGTAGAAGTGTAAGATCCATGGGTAAAAATGATGGATATCAGGAAACAGGAGTGGGACTCTGCACCCAATCTCAGGCCTCCCTTCCCCACATCTGTGTTATTTTTGTCCATGCAGCTTACTTTTCCACCCTGAAGGTGGAGGCAGCAGGTTTCTGTGAAACATAAGTACCTGTCTACCAAACAACATGGCGTCACACCCAGAAAACTTTAATCATATTTGTTACAATTTCAAGTATCAGGTATGGAGGTAGATGTAGTTGCCATGGATATATGAGTAGATCTGTGTGTCCGATATGAAAGTTGTGTTGTCAGCATATTCAAACATTATGGTATAGTCTGTACCTACAAAGGAAATGAAACAAGTTGGTTTCAAAACTGAACCATCACTGCAGTAGGTGGACTACAATACTTAAACACACTTCATGACAAATGGTTAAAAGAACTGAATTAGCCCTTTTGCTTGTAGACATCAAGATTGACTGTACCATAGGTTACTCTATAAACCTTGGGTGAGGACCTGTACTGGATAAGAGACATTGCCAAGTTTCTGTTTGTGAAAGATAATCTTCATTGTTCATTGCTGCCATGTGCAGGAGAACCCATATTTGCAGGATTCATATTGTGGTCATCTTGGTTAGGACACTGTGTTGTCCACTGAGTGAGTTCCAGTGTTTCAGAAAAACATTACTACCTTCTTGTAGGACTTCAGGTCTTCACAGCAGTGGTTATGAAGAGTTATGTCTTTGGGATGCGATGTTTCAAAGGATCATGTTGCCTCCATCTTCAAGGCCAGTGAGTAAGCCAAGTAAGAAACCAACATGAAGCAGGCAGCAAGCAGAACTTGGTTTACTCTTTCACCATGAAGATGGGGTCAGTATGGTCCTTTGAAATGTCAGTTTACTTTCAGCACAGCATTATATCCCAGAAGACAGAACTCTTCATTTTGCCTTCAGCTTCAGGATGCAGTATGTTTCTCGTAAACCTTGGTAACTTTGTGCCAGTCTTTATAGTGCCATAACCAAGATCACCATAACATGAACCTTTACGTCCCTGAAATTCTGTTATCTTCCATGTCTGAAGAAATTGAAGTGGTATTGTTTGGCCAAAAGTTACGTACGCCAATACATAGACTGTTTTGGCACTGCTGACAGGTTAATACAGTTATCTAATTGATAATCTTTCTTCAGGTAAAAACAGGAATCAAACCCTGTAGTCATCCTCTCTGTCTTGGTTTATTAGTGTTTCAGATTTCTGTTCTTTTAGCTCTGTTATATGTTCAAAAATGTTTCTCTTTTGGTTCTTGTCACATAGGCAACACACTGGTTCTATTGATGTGATGTTTTGTGGCACAGTAAATACAACAATTAAAATAAATATCAAGAGTTTAAAAAGAACTGATAAGAAGAGACCTTGAGCCTATTGATTTGGAGAGTCGAAAAATATGAAGTCTTTTGAGTCTCCATGACATAGTTTTCTGTTGATAACAAATAATCAGATTCGTCATTCTCATATTAATACTGAGTTAGCAAAAATATTATCTTTTCAGTTTGTAACAAATTGGTGGTTAAGTATTAATATTCACAGTTTATGGAATGACCCCCATAGAATTATTTTTAGAACCTAATAGGAAATAAACATTTCATAAATCTAAGCCTATTCAAAGGGGATCTTGTAAGTGTGTTTGATGCATAAATGGAATTCTAGGCTCTTATGATATTTTTGATCCTCAGACAAGAAGCGCAAGGTGTATGACGTATATGGCAAGGATGGGCTTTCACAGACACCTCGGGGCCGTTCAAGGCATTATGGTGGCACTCCAGGTGATGATTTCGACATACCAGGTTTTACTTCATTCACTTTCCGTGATCCTGAAGAGGTCTTCAGAGAGTTCTTCGGTGGACGTTCCCCATTTGAGGATCTCTTAACAGGTATGGTGTAATGGTGTCACAGTTCTCAAGTTTTTGTACATTTGTCCAGTTTTGAAACTTAATGCAGTGTTTAAAATTGCATCAACTTCCTATCCTCAATTCCAATGTAAAGCTGTGATAAGACATTTTACATGATGTCTGGTGACTCCTTGCTATAACCTTTCCCCTGTGTGCATTGGCTCCATGGGTTAATGCCTTTACTGCTTGGACAGCTGCAGCGATTGAGACAGAGCTGAATTACAGAATGAAGGTTACTGGTCTCCTTGTAATATCTCACATATTTCTCAGAATTGTGTCTGCATAAAATTCAGGCCTCCACAGTTCTCCTTGCAAACACTGTGCCCCGAACACTAGTACTTACAAGTTGTTCTGTAGGATTTGAGAGCTGAGATGTATGAAAATGACACCCCTGAATATAAATTGAAATGTGACTGAACACATGACGTTGACTCAGCCACAGCATTCAAAACACTGAGCTCCACTTACCCTCCAAACCTCTGTTCCAATGGCAATGCTACTGCACATCCCAAGGTTATAGCTCATGTCCTACTGAACATACTGTACTCTTAGGGCCATTTGAGGCCACACTGACAAGGTACTTGGTGCTGTTATATTGTACTGGTCTTATATTGCAGGATTTAACAGGAGTCAAGGACATGGTCGTCACAGCCGCAACTCGCATACGCAGAACACGATTACTTCTTCATTTTTAAATCCATTTGGCTCACTAAGCTTTGGCATGGCTGGATTTGATGACTTATTCAGTGCACGCCATTCAGGGCCAGAAGCCTTCACGTCATTCTCATCCCTTAGCAATTTCAGTGGACCAAGTGGTGGGGCTGTCAAGAGGACGTCAACATCTACCAGATTCATCAATGGAAAGAAGATAACAACTAAGAAGTAAGCAGAAGATTAAGGCCGCACCATAGCTCAAGTGGTTAGTCGCTGGCTTCCCACTGTGGCGGCCCGGGTTCGATCCCGGGTCTGGTCAAGTGGGATTTATGGTGGACAAAGTGGTTATGGGGCAGGTTTTCTCCAAGTACTTCAGTTTCCCCTGCCAATCTTCATTCCACCAATTGCTCCACAATGACCCTCACCTATCATCTGGGGCTGGTACAATAGGCCAGAAGTAGCCGCAGTACAAGAGAGTTAGTCCTACCCCACTGGCAATAAAAAAAAAGCACAAGATTCGTTGGAAAAAAAGGGTTTTAAAAGTTCAAGTATATGCAGTTATTTTTTTAGGTGTGGTGATGTATGAACGTTTTATTAGTTTTTTATTCCTTTCTGTTATTGGAAGTTTAAAAATGCATTGAATGCAAAGCTCTTTTGTGAACAGTTGTAGAGGGCAACTAAGGAATGTGTAATAACAGTAGGAGAACAAGCGACGAAGAGAATGAAGAACTTTACCAGCAATATTAAAATTAGTGGAATGTTGATAATATGGATGCCAAGACAACAGTATCAGTCCCGATCAATTGGTGATTTTGTCTTCTGGGATGTGGCTCTGGTAGAAGTAGAGTCTAAAGGGTTCTGACAATAGTGTATAATGCTCAGAATTACTGGGTTTTCTGATTTTGTCCATTGTCCAGTATTCTGGAAACTAGTTTTTAGAATACTGGACAATAAGGTCATGCCATAGCTCAGGTGGTTAGTCACTGGCTTCCCCCCCACAGCGGCCTGGATCTTGAGCCCACGTCAGGTCGTGGGATTTGTGGAGTAGGTTTTCTCCGAGTACTTCAGTTTTCCCTACCAATCCTCATTCCTCCAACTGCTCCATACTCATTGTCTATCACATGGGGCTGGTATAGTAAACCAATTAAGTGGCTGATGTACCAAGTGTACTCAGTCTCACCCCACCTGAAGAAACTATACTGGACACCGCACAAAGTCCAGTAGCCTGTAGAAGCTTACGTACTCATCTCTCAATCAGAGAGTGTGTTCCTGCAAAGTGCCAGTCAACTTCTACAGCACTGCACACACATCATTATATCCCAGAAGACGTTGTTTTTCAGTTTTTATTTTGTTTTGTCTCTGTTTAATGTTGTGTTCCTTTAAAGAGCAGTTTGAATAAGTGATCCGAATTAAGACAGAGATAGCTAATAGAATTTTTATTTTTGCAAATGTTTCAGAATTTTGGAAAATGGAAGAGAGACTGCAATGACGTACGAGAATGATGTCCTCATCTCGAAGACTGTAAATGGCGTTAATCAATCCATCACCAACAGTTAATTATATTGCTCCAGATGTTAAATTATTTTGTTCAGTAAGAAGAGATAGATCACAAGAGACTGACTGTTTTCATCTTTCTCTCTCTCTCTTTTTCCAGTGTTAGCAACATAATATAATACAGCAGAAATTTGCCAGTTGCTGCCAAGTTCTTTGTGGACCACATGTATCAATATACATACATATGTACAATACACACATGATATTTAAAGTAAATGTTTTGGAAAGCGTGTGACTGATGGTAAATTTACTGCTGTTAATGTTTGAGTGAGTGGATGTGTTAACAGCAAAATAGTGATATGTACTGCAGACAGTGAGCTTTTGCTGTTCATTTGAAGTAATGTAGGACAGTTAATTGTTCTGTGTATTTTCTTGAAAGGATGAAGGTTCTTGGATAATATTTTATGTTATTTGAAAGATTTAAGTGTCCCTGCATGTAAAGTGCTACTGTTATGCCAGAAAATATTTCCCTCCCATTATTATATGCAGAGAAGTTAGTGGTGGAGATGGAAAAAGGCAGCATCTCTTCTTCTTATGATTTTTGTGAATAAAGGGGGATAGAAATGTCTGTTTCCTGTTTCTTAAGAGGTCAAGGCTTTGAAATATTTGCATATTTAAATTAAATAACAAATCAATAAAAACTAATGTAAATTGCATTCTTCTAACATTTATTTTTATCAATCTAATATCAGAATTGCCTTCAAAATAAAAGGAACACTGATACTAAGTATAGTAATGCATTGTGCTTACACTTAATTGTCTTTGTTCTCAATTTTGTTAAGTAGTTACTTCCTTCTTTTTCTAATGTTACTGTTAAATAAGAAAATCTGTGATTTGTGGTTTTTTATGTATGTAAGATATGTGTAGTTGGAATAATTCACATGCTACAGAATTCATTTAAGTGTGTATATGAGTTCAAGACAATTTACTTTAAAACTCTTACTTTACCTAATATTAATTTGGCCAGAAGTGTATTGTAAACAGGTCGTCACAACGATTGTAATTTTTTGGTCTAGAGCCATAAATCTTTATTGCAAGATGAGAATGGTTCTTCTGAGAAAGAAGTATCCGTGCCCAGATTTTCTGTCTGTCAGTCCTCCTGTTTCTATCCTTATCTATTATTCAGTAGGGCTTAGAGAAAATGTACAGTTTTTTTGATGGGGTAGCACATTGATTAAAATTGTTCCTTTGGATATTTTTGTTTGAGAATAGTTCTACCTAGTGACCCAATGGAGTTCTTTCTCACATGACGATAGGAATCGAGTCAATTAATGACCTTAAAAAAATATAAATGATGGGCAAAGTCCAAAAGAATAGTCTTAATGAAGGGCACAATGTCTGCACTAGTTTTATATCTGGACAAACTTTCATTTACACATTAGCAAGCGCTGTTGATATTATAATCTGTACGTAATATCTGATCATATTAGTATCTTATGAATTCTGAATTTGAGTTTTGAATTTAGCCTGCTGTTTCTCAGCAGATTTTAAATTATCAATCTATTTTGAATTAGTAGTTAAAAAAATGTGTGTACACTTGAAGTAATCACCCATGGTGACAGGTGTTGACAATGCCAAGGATAGGGATTATTGATGTACTGGTATCCCTTTTTTTTCACAGAGGCCGGAATTATCCATTTTTGCACTCGGGGTATGTTCCAGTACTTTCTTCCCGCCCCCCAGCTGAAAGAACTGAGAAACACACCTGTGGCATATGGCTCTTATGACTCCCATGTTTTTTCCTTTAAATTCAGTCATATTTTCTCTGTATATTCTTATGTTGTCTGGGAACAGGAGATTACAAGTCCAATAATATTACTGTGCTGACCGCCAGATTTTAACATGGTGTGGGGGGGTAACGGTAGTATCACACCTAGTGAGGAAATGCAGTGCACCACCAGTGAAGTTTAAGTGGTCTTGATAGATGTTGTGATGTTGAACATACGGATTATTGTAGCCATAGAATCACGTCTCTTCCACTTGTTTGCTAATTTTCTTTTCTGTTATGACTCTCAGCTTCTGACACAGCCATGTACAATTTATGACAATCTTTTAACATGTTCTGTAAATGGTGTAGACAGTAAGTTCATAACATAATGGCCTGCAGAGCCACCAGCAGTTCTTCAATGGCAAATAGGCTTCTAGCTGTTCAGCATGTTTCAGTGTTGCAAAGCCTTTATTTATATATACAGGATATAAATATTAATTTCTGTCAGATGGGATCTATCCACTCATCCAGTACAGTCATATTTGTACTAATGTAATTGTAATGTGATTATTTATAAACAGGATCAGTACAGTTAACAAATCAACCTGGCAGGGAACATCCAAGAAGTTGTGGCAGTTGCCTGAAGACAAAGTGAAAAGTGGAAGGAGGGGGGAACTACCTGCAGCAGCAAATTGAGGGATGGCCATGTCCTCCCATATGTTTCTCTGTTCCGCAAACGTTGTGCAAAATCCTGTTGGATAATACATAGTGATATATTCAAAAAGGGGAATTTAATTTGTGATCTACAGCAAGACACATGATGTTAATTGTAGATAGGTATAAAACTATAGCTCTGAGAGGATCACAAAGCTGATGAGTGTTTGAGATAAACTGCTCTAACTGATTGAACCAAGTTGTACAGTGTATAGGCTGGATCGTGCCCGAACTGACGGTCCTACACCAATACTTCTGGGATGGGTTGATTGTCATGCAGAAGAATGTCTCTCTGCATATGAGCTGTGAGTTTTGGGGTCATATTCTACCAACTGAAAAGTTGAGAAGTGTCTTATTCCCTGAATAAGGCAACAAGCAATAAGAAGGCAACAGAACTAGTTCAGTGTGGTTAATTGCAAATAAAATGATTTTTTTCATGTCAACTTTTAATGTTTTTCTGTCATTAAAATATTTTTTTACTTTCATCTTAATTCAAACTTCTTTTATGCCCGCAACAGTCAGTGCAGTGTAGCAGTTGTTAAAATTATGTTATGCTGTAGACACGGTTCACAGAAATGATCATACTGTATGTGCAACACTGTCAGAATGCAGATGTTATGTCTGCACAGTGACAAGACACCCTTGGCATTTGTTAAAAAGATTTATTATTTTACAGTATCTAGGAAAGGACAGCTAAACTCATGTGCTTCCCCACTCTGCCAGGCTCGCAAACCTCAGAGACAGGTAGGAAACGTGGCGAAAACAAAGGTTGATAATTAATGTAATTTCCAAGTAAGTGAGCAGCACACAGAGATGATATGTTCACAGTTGTTTGTGTGTTTCAGTTTAATAGCATGCAGTAGTGTGGTTATGGGGGGGGGTGAGCTCTGACTGTTGGTAGTGCCCTTTGAGAAACTGATGGTTTCATTAGGCCTTTCCTACAAGACTGGTTATGATAAATATTAAATGTATGATTATTTTTATTTTTTCAAATTCCTTATAATTTCCCAAATGTCTTGTATTTAACATGTTCGAAGTCCATACAGTAAAATTACTGCTATATATGAAATCTTGTCTTGTTCTCATTACGAGCATTGACTGACTGCAAAACTTTTAAATGTACTTTATATACCATAAACCATAAAGTATTTTTTTTTTGTTTATGTTGTGGGGTACATACAGGTGTACTAATGCTAGAGAATGTATGACATTTAAGATTCTTACAGCAGTCACTGTGTGAATGCCTGTCTTCTGGGATGTGGTATCATCTAGTCTAGTACAAAGTTGTCAGTACTTCAAAGGACTCTGCTACCTGTGAAACACTGGGACCTTTCTTTAAGACCAAATGCTGTCATAATCATGCTCGTTAATGTTGATATCTGTGAGGCTGCACAGTGAAGTGAAGAAGCACATAATTATATTGGTGTTTATGTATTATGGAAGATGGAACTTCTGTTAAGAACTTAAGAATGTTAATAGATATATGTGGCAGTTTGTCTCCGTGAGCCATGCATTTAATGAAAAGAATGAGACTTTTAAAATAATAAGCACGGTTGCAACATGTTTTTTATTTTGGAAGTTTTATCAACAGCTTTGGGGGAGAAGGAGAATACTGAATTTGGGTGGAAAAGTATTTCTTTACCAGTGTTAAAGAATATAGAAAGTGGCCTGCTTTCAGGTGTAGCTAAAAGAGGAAGGAATGGCTTGGCTGAGTTACAGAAAAAATATGCACCTTATGTGGCAAACTGGTTTGGTTATTTTATGTTCTATCAATTGCTGAAATATGATAGAATAATTGTGAATAATGAAGCAGTTCAGATGTGGAGAAAGTGGTCATGCCTAGAGAGACTAATAGAAGCCATAGAAGATTGCAAGATATCGGCCAGGATTTGAACCGGGCTCCTCATGAATGCAAGTCAGTCACACTACTGCTGTGCATACCAAGTTGGCTGTATGAAAAAATCACCATGTGGGAAACATAAACTTTGAAATCCATTTCACATGAATCAAAAACCAAGGGATTCTTCATAGTTACCTCAGTTTCACCTCTTCCAGGCTTATGTGCACTCTCTCTCACTATGTGTGAACATATTTTATATAGGATCACTCAAAGTCATAAGGCCAGATTTTAGGATGACGTTGGGGAGATAATGTGGAGCAAAAAATGTATTATCAGATTATGGTGTTTCAGTTATTTAAGTGTAACACCTTTATTTGTTTGAATTTTACATTACATTTAACACCAATATCAAATGATGTAGTGGGGACTTGAATCCATATCTCTTCACAACAGCAATTCAGATTTACCTCCTTAAGCATGTTTCATGGTTCACACAATCATCAGATGGAGTTCTTGATGTGAACATACAGGATAAGTAGGTTCATAACGTCTGTTGGAGCTTCCAGAATGCATTTGAATAGGTCATAGTGAACTTGCACTTCCATAACATGTACATTTTCCTTGATGTATCAGTTAAAAAATCGGGTGTAATCAGGTCATGAGAACATGGAGGCAGATACTTGAGTGTTGCACTTGATATGTAAAATGGGGAGGGGTGCAATTATGGTGAAACCACTTGCTTTCAAGAACATTAAGGGATACATTCTCAGAAAGGAGGTGGGGGAAGTGTTCCTTCAAGGAAGTCGGTCAACTACTGTCATGTGTTGCCCTGTTAAATAATAGTCTACAATTCTGGCCTAGTGACACTACTGTGAGAAGCCTGTTTCACATGCAGCCTGACAGATGATATTGATAGATTAGCATATATATGGTTGGTTGGTTTCCAATGACTGCATTTGGGATCATTTAACCCAATTTGCTTAGATTAACATATATAGCATCTAACACTTTCTCTTTAATGTAGTTGGTTGAGGCACTATGCTACAAGCTGGATGGTGGCGCGTTCGATTCTCAATGAAGTTATTGGATTTTTCAGTTGACATGATCCTTCAGTGAACTATGGCCCTGGGGTCGACTCAGCCTCTAACAGAAATGAGTATCAAATTTTCCTCGGGCAAAGGGTGGCTGGCGCATAAGGCTAACAACCTTACCACCATTTGTGAGCTGAGTGTCTAGAAAATGTGGGAGCCTCAACATATCACAACCCTATGGGCATCCACAGCCTGTTACACAGATAGCTTTACCTTTATTTAACACTTTCTCTTTGTTGTGTCTGCTACAGTCACTGATTCCCCCACACTACGGTACCATTGTGTAGATGTCTCTTGAGTTGCCTCTGATGTGTGAATACCAACAGTTAAGCTGTAGCATTTCCATCACAAAAGTAATACATTGAATTCATATCATTATTCAGAATTTCAGGTTTTTGCATACTTTATCACAATTTTTAAAGCATATTTTACTGTTACCACCCTTCAACAAACTCTGGCCTCAGGTATTTATATGGTTGTAGTTATACTGACATGGGTCGTCTAAGTGACCCAACAGGCTACGTGTCTCCACTCCTCACCAGAGGATGGAAACAGATGAATTTTCCGAAATGTGTTCTCTGACTTTTTAGAATACCGGACATTGGGTCCAAAGTCCCCAGTAATTCTGAATGTTGTGTGCCATCATCAGAACCTTTCAGAATCTGCATATTGGCATATTCTGCATT